TCTACTTGTGTGCCTAGTTATATTGAAATCAGACCAAAACTGTAGAAGGTGTAGCGTTTTTAAGGAATTTCACAGAAATATCTATTTTTAGTAACCATGGCAACATCGTTCATCAAAATAAAAAACGGATGCACTATTCTATGTATCTTAGTGTAGTCTACTTGTGTGCCAAGTTATATTGAAATCAGACCAAAACTGTAGAAGGAGTAGCGTTTTGAAAAATTGTTTACAGACAGACGGACAGACAGACGGACAGACAGACAGACAGACAGACAGACAGACGGACGGACGCCGGACGCATTACTATCGCATAAGCTCTTCTGGTCTCTGACCAGTAGAGCTAAAAATCAACATGTTCATATTCTTCCTTATTAGTCTAAGATCTTATGCTTCATTGAACAACAAAATGTACAAGTAGTACTTTAAACTCTGTCCGTTTTATGCACGTGATAGTCTGAACATTCATTGGCAAGATCGACATATATATCGATCTGCAAATGTTGTTTCATCAGAGTACTCTAAAAGTCTGTTTATACAAATCTGTTTTGGAATTGCCAGCACATGTTGCGGTTATAGAGGCACACACGGTGAAGCAATCCTCGTCTGAAAGCGACTTGAAGGTAGACAAACTCCTTTTTACCGCCATGCTGTCAAACATACCGCCATTCTGTCAACATTTAACGAAGTTCCTAATCTCGATCATCAACACGCTTTATACAATTGGGGAAAGGGAGAATCAAAGCGTCTAAATAACCTAACACAGGTTTTGTTGAAAAAAGCTAAACGGATAAAAACGGATAAAGATACGAATCAAATAAAAAAAACATTTTTGTGAAAATTGAAATAAAATATTTTGAGTCGGGCTAATTTTCGCGGGTCGGTCTGCTAAGGGCAAACAAACAATATTTTAATTTAGGCCTAAATAGAACTTGTTTACGTCTAACTTTACCTGAAAACATTAAGATGTTTATCTGATGTAATTTTAGAAACAGATTTTTATCCAATCAAAATCTCTGTGCGGGATCAGCACCAACCGTTCCATGAGTAAGTTTTCCACTCAGCGAGCTACCTTGTGTTATAACATGTATACTGTGGGTTAAAAATTTAGTACTGAAACAAGTCCCTTTGGGCAAAAAATATGAACAGAAACTCACGTGAAATACTCAAATAGATCTAAATAGATCTTAATGCACAAAAAGATAATCCACAGACATACAAAAGGTAAAACTTTACTGAAAAATAAGTATATTAAAAAAATATTTACCCAAACAAAATGGATGCAGCCACAAGATGATGTTAGTACCCATCTAACACTGACAAAACTCCTCCTCTACAATCAGCTGATAAAAACATTATCGTACTTGGATTCAAAAAAATTCTGTAAACAAATTAAGGCAAAAGATGATTACAAAACTATTTCATTCGGCTGAAAATAAAACACCTAATTTTCCCTCAAAATAAACAAGAAACAGATGACACTCTGATTTGTTTACCTGTACTTCAATCGAAATTTTCCAGATGGACACTCGCACCCAAATTTTTATGACACCGTAAGTCGATAAACCATTCTATACTGGAACAGTTATTGAGAAGGCTTCATCTCCTTTATTCAGTCTTGGTGCCGTCAAAGACTGCAAATTACATAAAAAGTGATTAGAAATTACATAAAAAATGACTGACACAAAACGTTGACTATATTATGTATCATTTATGACCGAACCGAGTTTCCATACTTTTACTTTTAACAGCGATCTACTACTAAACAATAAACACAAGAAAGTAGTAATAAATCGGCAAGAAATCATCAAATTATCCTTATAAATATACATACTCGAGTATAACACACAGTGACTAGATTAGTAGATGGTATAAATCTCCGAAAATGATCTGAACACAAACCACGTGCTTAGCCTTACACAAAAACCAGGTCATTTTGACAATGCAAAAATAATACTTAAAATTTCTGAAACATTTGACATTACAAGGTTTGCGTTTTAACACATGATTTCTTAGATCTTAATATTATATCAAATGAAAGTGTACTTACACTATAGGGCTACAAAGTCACAATCCAATTGCACGTGTAAAATATGGCGCTTGCCAAACTACGGGAAATAACTCTTGAAATAAACAAAACAAAAAGTTAACTCGTACATAGTTGATTCGGAGACATTACACATTCCGCTTTTAAAGTAAAACTATTTAACAGTCCCCGAAAGCTTTGCGTAAACCAGAAACATGCTAAACTCAATACACAAATCCATGTCAGGCATGTGCTAGGTACCCCAGAAGTGAGGAACCCCGCGAGTTACGTGACAAGCACTTTCAGACTCTTGACCGAGTTTTCTCAGCATTTGAAATACTTCCGGTAAAGGGAGAAGTAATTTAAAATGGAATTTAAATAAAAATAATGAAGAGAGATATCTCTTTGCAATAAAGAGATATCTCTTTTTGCTTGGGAGATATCTCTTGAAGACACTTTTGAGAGATATCTCTTTCACTTTGAGAGATATCTCTTATGATAAACTTAGAGAGATATCTCTTTTACTTAAAGAGATATCTCTCAAAGTGAAAGAGATATCTCTCTAGGTGAAAAAGATATCTCTTTTGATGAAAGAGATATCTCTTTAACGTTCAAAGATATCTCTTTTCACGAAAGAGATATCTCTCAAGGAGAAAGAGATATCTCTTAAAGCAAAAGAGATATCTCTCTAAGTATAAGAGATATCTCTCTAACTTAAAGAGATATCTCTTTCTTATAGAGATATCTCTTAAAAATAAGAGATATCTCTTTAAGTTGGGAGATATCTCTATTTTTTAAGAGATATCTCTCTAAAATGAGAGATATCTCTGTAATTTGAAGATAAAATTTATTTTCCGAATAAATAGTAAAAGGGCTTGCCATAGAAGGGCTTGTCGCATTTTGGGATTTTTCTTAGGACATATCTTAGGAATATCTAAAGATAGGTCTTAGGATTCTGAGGAATATTTTCGTACGCGAATCTAAAATTCTCTTTAAGCAACAGTAATTATGCCTTTTGTGTCCCTTTTCTGAAAGGTAAAAAGTCTAACATTTTCATCATACTAATTCGATGACTTTTAACAAACAAGCAACTATGACAATATGGTGTTCATTAGACAAACCCATAGTGCCGAAACAATTACCCCATGTCGAATCAATTTTTGTGTTTTTGCAGAAATAAACCTTAAATTGTGGAAGCTATTGATGCATTCGGAATTTGAAAAACACCATTAATCGTATGATATTGACTGAATAGTCTCTGAATTATTTTGAGTGCTATAAGGTATCCAAATCAAACACACTTGAATATAAACAATTAAGCACCATTATAGTTCTTTTAAAAAGATGGAAATTGACCGTTGTTGATCCAACTAAAAAGGTCTCCCATGTCAGTAAATTGTGTACAATATCCTGAAACACGATCGATAATACAGATACAGATTATTAGGTACATCTATGTAAATTGCTAAAGAGATTTATAGGTCCGTTATTCATTAAAATCTAAAGGGTTGATATAATATATAATACTAAGTAGTAACTTTTTCTCGGTAGAGAAAAAAATCCGCCAAAGTTAAACGTTACATCTCAGTTCACCCCCAGATCGATCTAACATAATGATTAATGCTTAAATTGTTTGTTTTTTTCTTTTATTTTTAATGACTACGTCTTAATAAAAAGTGTAAAGATGATAAATTGCAAAAATCCAGATAAGAAAACAAATCATAATCAGTGGAAAACACAGACCCTTTAAAAAAATCATGAGGAGGAGGAAGCATTTCTTTTCGGCTGGTCAGACCCACCTAAAGCATCCTGTATTTACTTAATTAAAAAAAAACCTCACTACTTAAAATAAAGGATGTTGACGACAAATAATTCATGATATCTCATGAATACAAATTTCAAAGTACCTTTGTGTAGAATCGAAATGATTCAAACAAAGTACTTTGGTAAATGACCAATCGTAAGATATGATAATATCCAAATTGTTGTTTTATGAGAAAAGCTGTTTTTTTCTTTGATGCAATCAAGGCTAGATTAAAGAGTAGTTGTAGAAAAGGTCGCATAATCGCAGTTATTTAAGGAATCACTGTCTAGTTAGGAGGGTATGTCAGGGCATCAACAATAGTGGGAAACATGGGATAATTTGCATAACGGGCGAAGCCCGTTATGCTTAAATTATCCCATGTTTCCCACTATTGTTGATGTCCCTGACATACCCTCCTAACTAGACAGTGATTCCTTATATTTCCATTTCATTGTGAAATAAAATTGTAGATTTAGACTTTAAAAATGTAGAAAATTAGATTTAAATCACATGATGACTTCTATGCCAATTTCAATAGTCCTCGCCAACCGACGTCAAACACAAAGGCAGCCGCACGAGATTTACATGCATATTTGGCCTCTTTAGCGTCAGACACAGAGACAGATGCGCACGAGAATTGCATGCGTATTAGGCCTCCTTAGCTCCCGACCTATCGACCTGCCTAATTTACATTCCGGCAGAATTATCAAGAAATAAACTACCCATAACTTTCAAAGAGTTATCACAGAGAAAAAAATTAGAAATGGAAATATTTTCAAATGTACGATTCGATCGTACGTCATAAATTTTTGAAAAATATAGTAATTTCAAATTCTTTAAAATTCTTCAGAGTTGTGACATTATTCTAATTCTCGAATATGTTGTTGTACGAGTAATTTCGACTTAAAACAGGGGTTTTTTTTTGGAGTGAAGATAGATTTAGTTTTACATGTCTGCGTATATTTACAGAAAAACTCGTTTAGTACGAACACGGATATTGCGAATTTATGGATATAGCGAAGTCATCTTGAATCCCAAGCCATTTCTTATATGGTTATAACGAATTACGGATATAACGAAGTAATTTCATAGGTCCCAGCGACTTCGTTATAACCGAGTTTTGTATATTGCAGTTCTACACTGTACGATAAACTTTATTGTAAATCTCATAACTTGTTCTAAAAAATACAGATAATGAACAGCAATCGATTTTAAAAAAACTACAGCAAAATACATCTGTAAAAAGGACCAAAACAAAAAACAAAACACGGACCCTTGGAAATTCTAGAGGTTTGGTTAGGTGCCTTAGAGGATTAAGCGTGAAATCCTTTTTGAAATTTTTTCTACAAAAATTAAAAATTCTGGAATTTTAAATCACAGTCTGAACACTGGACACAGAGAACATACCTTGACACAATAGAAACTGACTTAGTGGAATAACAAACAACTATTTCATTGCAAAAGGCATATATCAAAATGCTACGAATTTTAAAATGTTTAATGCAGTCAAACAAAATTTCCATTACAACTAGTATTACAACTATACATTTTTAGCAATAAGCTTTATACAGCTACATACATGTATATGCAACTAAGTCCGGTTTTTAAATTTCCAAAACAAAGCAAAAGATAAGAAGAGGAAAATTCCCACCATGATGTCTAAATGTTTCATTCAAAATATGTTGAAACAATCCTCCTTCACGTTAATGTTATTACTAGGATAAACCACTGAAAGAAAACAAAGATGTAAAAATAGTGCATCATCACTCTGTCATATCCCTCCGCTAAAATCTTCCAAGTTACCTTCTTCTCTGCCTCAGTATCTTGCTCATCTTCGTTAGGAGCAATATATTTCTTTTCAAAACTTACATCCAGTTCCGCAGATTTGTCAGCGACTTTAGCCTTCTTTTTTCGTTTTCCACAGATGTCGTGCAAGAATCGGAGTCGAAGCACATTTAGCACAAAAACACTTTTACTTGAGACGTGAAAAGTAGGGTCTCTGAAATGAAAACGCATCGTTACAACAGCCAGAACGCTTATAAGTGTGCTCATCGACATTGTTATTATTAAGAAATATGACATTAAAGACATTGGCTCTGAAGATTTAGGGATATTGTCACTTAGCAATGTCATAAACACGGCAAATGACAAGAAGATGGTTATAGCATAGGATACACGTTCTCCACTTTCCACTGGTAATGCAAACACTAGAGGGTTGAGTAAGGACAATAAAAGGATAGGGGCTAACATGTTTATGATGAAATAAAGAGATTTCCTCTTCAAAATTAGTCGAATTTCAATTAAATTATCAAAATGTTCGAGAACAGCCCGTTTCATAAGTGCCTTTTGTAATGTCCATTGGGCATTCGGGGAGTAGTACGTCGTATCCGCGACTGTCACACCATTCAAGGGGATTAATCTCACTTCATTTGGATAATATCCCCACGGTGATAAAGTGAATGAGCAAGTTTGTGTATCAAATGGAAATTTATACATATCAACGTTGCAAAGAGTCTGAATCAGACCAGCAGGTATCCATCTTGTAGTTCCGGTGTAAGAAATTCTCCCCAAGAAGTCTTCATCTCCAAGGGCTTCCATTTTATTTGCTGGGTCAATCAAAAAGATATTAGGAATCCATATTTTTTCCTTGGGAACTGGGATTTCTTCGATGTCACCATAGTTGCTTGGTGTCCAAGTCAATCGAAAATCCTGCCAAAACATACCAAGGCCACAAACAATTGACAACACACCAGAAATCTCATCAAAATCATTTATTGAAAAAATCATGGGCATAAGAGCGACCTCTAAAGCTTCTGAAAAGTTCGCTTTTGGTCGGATTTCTTTAGAGTAGTTCTTGAAAACCTCTTGAAGAAGTAATTCAGCGTCAGTATAAAGACCTTGAACATTTGTTAGTGATGTTCCTGAAATTAATAGCAAAAACAAACCCAAATTAGGAACTTTCTTCATGATCCACTCAAGCTGTCTATTTTGAAATTAAACAGCTATCTGCACACAAATGGTCGATCGTCGAATAATAGGTATGAAATGTAACTGCTGTGTTTCCGTTCACTCTAATGTTCAGTTCATTTTTTATGTTGATTAGTTTGAAATAGAATTTATAAACAGTCCTCGCTAAAATTCAGTTGTCTCACTGTATTTTAAAAAGAAAAACATCCCATGAACAAATATTAATCAGCAATATTTGTTATCACGCTTCAAAAGATAAATGAAATAAGGTCCGACTTGCTGTAAATATTAGCACAGTACTAACGAAGTCCTCTATTAATGTCTTCACTAAATATCTTTTTTAAAATAAATTTGAATTAGGATGATCTTTTTGATATTTTCTATTTGGGGCGTGTGTAGCCAATGTTATAAGCCGAGGAATCTGAAATAAGATAAAACAAGGCATCCGACAAGTACTTTTATAGTTCAGCTTCGATCTGCTGCAGGCAAATTGTCTGTCCATCTAGCTAGGTATTCTATATGAGCCAATCAATGGTTATGATGTGATATCTGAGATTTGGAAGATTACAATTACATTCATAATTATATTGGACACATTTAAAAGGGTCCAAACCTCCAACAACAACAAAATCAGGACATCAGTAAAAAAAAATTATATAGCAAGATCTTGAGTGTCAAATATTCAAATGTTAAATAGTAAATGTTCAACCAAGCCTCTTTCGTTACTCCTCTCTAAGATACTGACAGTAGTGAAGGAAAAATTCAAAAGTACTGTGCAACAATATACACAAGAAGTGGTGTGAATCAGATGTGGGACTCAAAAATTCTAAAGAACTTTTGGACTGGACAATTTGAAATCACAAGATTTTACCAAAATCAACAGCTTAAAAACTTACGACTTTTCTACTTTATACACCACCATTCCCCATGATAAATTAAAACCCAGGCTTTTGGATATCACCGACAGCTGCTTTTTCAATAAAAATGGAACTCGTAAATTTACTAACCTGGTCATTGGTCATTTGCAAAATTATTTGTTAAAACACATTCTGATTGCACACACAAATACTAGCACTCTGAATTGACATGAAAAAGATGCTTGAGTTTTGAATTGACAATATCTATGTGGTCTTTGGAGATCAGGTCTTCCAACAATCTATTGGAATTCCATGGGTACAAATTGCGCTCCATTATTAGCAGGCCCACTTTATATTCATATGAAGCAGAATTTATGCAAAATCTTATGCGTGCAAAGAAGAAAACACTGGCTGTGGCCTTAAAACTCGACATTTAGATATATCGACGTATTGCCAATTAACAATGGTAATTGTCGATACGATATACTTGTATCCTGGTGAGCCTGAGATAAAACATACGACAGAGTTTGACACATCTGTTTCATAGTTGGATATTTTACTTGAAAAAGACTTAATGGTAATCTAACAACCAAGTTCTATGGTAAACGCATTGACTTTAACTTTTCAATCGTCAAGTTCCCTTACTTATGCAGCAATATACCTTCAATACCTTCATCACCTGCTTACTGGGTTTATATCTCTCAGTTGATTCGATACGCAAGACCTTGCTCTACGTATGAACAATTTCTAAGAAGAGCTATATTACTGACAAACATGTTGATGAAACAAGACTATCAGCAGTCTTGTTTAAAGTAATGATTTCGTAAGTTCTATGGTCGATGCATGACCTTGTCAGCAAATACAATTTATCATGGGACAAATGCTGACTAACGTTTTTCATACTTATTGTTGGTCCATTATACACTGAATAAACGATTAATTTTCCCGTTATAACCCGATAATGACAAGGAGCACACGGCGGGTGTGACGGTAGGCAGGGGATGCTCACTCCTCCATAGCATCTGATCCCACCTCTGATGTTTTGGAGGTCGTGTTTCCTCTGTTTCTATTTATGTATTGTTTTATGGGCTTTGATATTGAATACTGTTCGTTACCTCCATATTCTTTATCACTAACTCTACATTTGTGTCAAGCTCAGACTTTTAGCATTTTTTTTGTTATTAGCTAATGCAAGTAATAAATTGAAAGAATGCAAATAATTGTGAGTTTTAATATTGACAGAAGAAATGCTGAATGAGTTTGAACGCTATCAGCTTTCCAATCAAAACGTGTATTAACGATTTAATAGAATCAAATAGATACGATAATTCGGGTTTTACCTGTTCATCAATGATTATTTAAAACAGCGGAAATTGATTGAAACGAGAGATCGTCCAGACGTCATAATCTTTCAAACCAGTTGAAGTATTCATATTCACCATCGCACTTTTTAAAAGGCAGCAAATAATCACTTATATTTGTTTAAATCATTCTCGACATCTAACCTTTTCTTTACGAGAATTATTCGAGTCAATCATAAAGATTTAAGCATATCTTAAAAATGGCTGAATTTAAATTATTTTTACTCACCATTTTGAAATATAGATGTTGTATCTTATTAATTTGAAAACCACTATTTACACACTGAATTGTGTACGGATTATTCCGTTCTTCTCGACCATGACAATTAGGAGCAGAATATGCTCATTCCTTCATGGCACCTGATCCCATCTCTAATGATAATAGGTCCATATCTGCTCCGTTTTGTAATGTTTGAGTGGACTTATCAGCTTAACTAGTGTTCGTCCTCTCCATATTTCAGTAAGAGAAAAACATTTTCAGAGTTAAAGAATGAAAGTGAAACATATACATATAGTCTGAATTATCATGATTTTAATCTAATCACATGTCAGTCCGTCTTTTCAATCAGAGGCGTAACTACGAGGGCTGTTCCATAAATAATGTCCTGAACCGTATTACATACAATACAGATATCATATGACATTAAACTTGACTTTCTCTCATTATTGAATCTTTACTGAATTTACAACAGTTTATGTGACCACTTTTCATCACATAGTTTCATCGTGAGAAGCTGGAAAACAAGGGCTATTCGAGACACTGCATTATCAATGAATGGTAAAGAATCAGTAAACTAGAGTGAAAATGAAAGCTACATTAAAGCTGCTGTAAAACTTGTTAAAAATCCCAAAGAAATATTCACTGAAATATGTGACATTTACAGCAACCGATGCCTGTTTTTATAGACAAATGATCAGGTGGATTTCAATGATAAAAATTATATAATGGGCATCAAAGATGGGTACCCTCTTTGCCAACAAAAGTTATAACAACTTTTGTACTGATTGCCAAAGGATGCGGTGACTTGCGGTGTAACGTTGAATTTTGACCCGGGTTGAAAATTGACCCGGGGGTCATTTTTCAACATTGAATACTGAGACCGAAGGTGTTGAATTTAGACCCTAATCCGTTGAAAACTGAGCCGGGTCGTGGAATTTTGATCATGAAACCGGTTCAAAATTCAACAGCATAAAAACACATATTTATGATTGGGTTTTCACTACTGTGATTTAATTCATGGGTATGAGACCCCGTTTTAGTATTTACTGCAAAAAGTAGTATCCCCTATTTGAATAAGTGATATCACCTGTTCCAATACATGATATCACCTATTTGATTTGAATTTGTGATATCACCAATTCGAAAAGGTGATATCACTTATTCGAATTGGTGATATCACTTATTCGATTGGGTGATATCACCTTTTCCCGTCGAACAGCTGTAGTTTTTTTTTGCTTACAAACTAATTTATTTCACTTATATATCATGTATATACAACAAGAAAATCGTAAAAATGAATGAAAACTGGGTAGTCCGAATTTTCTTGGTTCCAGTGTAGTATAATATATATTATAGGGAGCATTCATTAATGACTGTTGTAAGAAACTCAAAAAGGTAATATCACCTTTTCGAATAGGTGATACCACTTATTGAAATAGGTGATAGCATCTATTTAGCACGGAAAGGTGATATCACCTTTAATTCTAAGCTCTCTGATTGGCTCAAACTTGATCTGTGATTCACATGATTAAGTATATAACAGCATAAAGACTTGAGTTACTATTTATAGAATCTGAAATGCATATTGATTTCATGTTTTTTTTCTTGTGATTATATAGTTTACTATATTGCAGGAGTCCTTTTAGAAAATTTCATTAAAGTGTGTGACACCCCCCCCCCCCTCCCTGCCTGGAGATAATTTTTTGTAAAACAGAAATAGTATTGATTTCTCAATTAAAGATAATACAGAGTATGACTTGATGTTTCTGAAAAAAAAAATTACTACAACTTGTATTAAAATTTTTTAATGTTCCGTAATTGGTGAGACGTACCAATGCCTTTAAGTCTTGAATTAGGATCAAAATGTACTTTATATTAAAACATATTGGATATCAAAAATTGATACAAGACATAATCAATTAAATAAATTTGTATTCTGAATAACTAAATCCTCTATAATTACTCCATTAATGTATAAAACGAAACATATTTATTTAATATTAAATAGCAACAGCTTAATTTATGCTGATCTCTAGTCTCTAAGTCTTGAAGAGAGAAAACTTCTGCCTTATTCCCAATATTTTCAAATTTTGTTTTGTCAATCTATGTGATAAAATGATTTATATTCGATAATAATGTTAAACTTTACATTCCTATTTAATTGAGTTTACAACCAATTCTAGTTTAATTTGTCATATTTCCCAGAATGCAATCATGGCAATTATTGAAAAAGAATTAAAAAAACATCGCATAGGAGATCATAGAGATAAAATCATGTTATAAGATGAGAAGTTTAACGAATAGGAATTGTATTTTTTTTTCGAATAGAAATGATGGTAGTATGTTTTCGAACAACAACTTTATTGCATATAAACCAAATAATCATCGATTAAAAAAGATAAAATTATCGAAT